CTGATTTTCACCCTCTTTCTTGGCTATACTTTGGTGTTTGAAATGGTGGGTGCTGGGTTCGAGTCTCGGTGAAAACAACATCACTCACTGGGGTGTAGATAGATCCAGTTGACAAAAAAACAATTCCTGGATTCCATTATGCTATATACCTGTAATTTTGCTCAACTGTTGCCTGACATTTGCTAATAACCTTAAAATAACTTTACTATGGCTGTTTTCGCAGCATTGCTAGCTTTTGTTTTTCCCATTACTTCTGAAAGCCGGACTCTCATTGGTTGTTAACTCTTTTAACCTATCAGTGAATTTAGTGTTGTCAAGGTCATTTTGAAATTTATATATTCAGCATCGCTCTCAACTATTTTGACTGTTGTTGAGACAGTAAACAGCTCTGTATCAATGGTCCGTCTTTTCTTGTCTTCGCATGTCGGTAGTATTATTGTTGTTGTGATTTATGTTCTGATTAAAGCTTAGAGTCAGCTCGTTTGTGTGTTAGATTCGTATCGCTTTTAGGCTAGTAGGTCACACTACTGGTCATAGGACATTGCAACTCATCAAGATGAATACAAAGTATCTTCATATTTTACACCTGCATAATAATGATGCATATGGTTTGAATTGACCATTAAATACAGTATTAAGGCCAGTATACACAATGGCTACATTACCACACAGAGATAATTAGACACTAAGTGAAGATTTCGAGCTAAAGTCAGTTGAGTCATTTGTGAATAGAAACGAACGAATTACCTTATTACTAATGAGAAGTATTACCAAGTGGTACTTCAAAAATTGTTTTTTCACAGAATTCTCTTTGAATTTTTTAAATATTATGGTTATCTATCTAAAATAATGACAGAATATGTGGATAGCCATTTAACATTGAGTGTCTTAAATCAATCAACATAAAGCTCTGCCACACTGTTGTCAGTAAGCAGTGTCTTACACCTAGGAAAATCATCTTCACCCTCTGTAGGAGATTCAAACTGAAATCAATCAGTGTTGAATTCTTATAATTAATTCAACAATTGATAATGTTAGAGGCTTATCAATACTAGAGAATTGATAGTTTCCTTTTCCATGCATGATGAACACCATATAGGTAATCACTCAGGATGGAATACAATGGGTAAGATTCATATTGGTGAGCAATCGGTTTTCATAACCGAGTCTATATGAGGCCGTGTCGGTAGCATGGATGTCGTTTGTTCAAGCCATGCGGTTCTTTACTATTTCTGGTTAATATATTGTTATCAATCAGACAGAGAAAAACTCATTTACTTTCATTGAGTACTAGGTGGGATTCGGATTCAAAATGAACACTTCATTCTGCTTGAAGCTAGCCTATGTCGATGTACAAAGTTGGCAGGAGTTGAATTAGGTTGATTCAGGGTGACTAGACTAAGGCATGACGAGAGTCCTTGAAGTCTTAGAATCGTGGTATGAGCCGTATAGAAAGGTATAAACTGCATGGCTGGGGTCCTGGAAACAATATGAACAATTGTTTGTTAACTCTTGGTGACACGCCTGAAAAACGATTTCGGTGGGGCAGATCTATTCACTCCTTGACATCCTCTAACCTAAATTGTTAGATTCCTTCTTCCCCTATACACCTTCGTATTTCTTATTCACTACTGTGAAGTATAGCAACTTGAGATGATGCACTTGTGTATGAGGTTCTACTTTGAAGTTTCCGATTTCCATCTGTCTGGGACTTATCAGGTCAAACTTGTCCTCTACACGCAATGATATATACAAAGATTTTGGTTCGAGCTCACAATCTTCATTATGGTTGGTAGAAATTTATACAAGTATTGCTTTGGTTGGACAAACACCTGTGGTTTTAAGCCTAGCAGTCTTCAAATGTCTGCAGACTTACCATGCACATCACCTCTCTGTTACATACAGACTTTATCTATTTCCTTTCTATTCTAGTGTTTATTCCGGAAGATTGTTTTGGGTTTATTTCAAATGTTGAGGTTTTGGGTGAGGTCATAGGAAATCGCCATGGTTTAGTGGTGGTGTAATGAAAACCTTGGTGGTAGCAGGCGGTCTTCACATGACTGGCACAAAGCTGTATTAACTCAGTTATGAGACTTATTTGCTTCATTCTGTGAGGGGAAATATGGATTCGGTTAGCAGCTGCGTTTATGGAGAAGTTGATAAATCGCTGAGCCCAGTAACCCAGAGGTGGCTTATCGAAGCATTTACCTGTAGGTGACCATACCGATGTTAAGTTAATCTCAACATGAACTAATGTTGCTAAATTTTCTTTATGACCAAATATTTAATCCACACATTTGTTACAATTCGCTGCCAAATCATTATGATTATTATGCAGTTTTGTGCATACCACACCAGTTGAATCCAAACGAAATACAATATTGTCCGCCTACAGTTCTTTTTTTCAATTTTCACAATGAGATTATTACAAAAACCAAAATTAAACAAGCGTTTGTGGTAAACTGGTTGTTGAGTGAATAAACGCGTGTGTCTATGTATTTTGAGAGAGCGTTACTTGTCATATACTATGCGTTGGTTATACTGAAAATATCAGGATACATTTGACAGTAGAGTATCATGTCTGTATGTCGTTGAAGAAACATTATAACTTAGATATAACCTTCATTTACTTCATTGTTTACCTACTCTTCAGACAGTTTTCACTTACTCTGTAGGAAGTGGTTAACTTCAAGCAAATTTCCATCCCGTACCGACATCATTTATAGTCAGTGAAAAAGTGGTGGTAATGGACAGCTGGTTCGATCTGGATTAAGACTTTTTTTAGCTGTATGCAGCTAAGATACCATGAAAGGTTGAACTCAGGGTTGTAATTTCTCCCTTCGGACGTGTCACCATTCAGCGACTGCATTGGAAACCAATCATATGCACTTTTCTATTTCTGCCTATTCGTGATTTAGTGTGGATATCTCCAATGTAATCGATAGGCATCCATTTCGTCTCTGAGTTGGTTGACCTCACAATTTTTCAGTAGAACTTCAAGAAACCCAACTCGTAGCAAATCACTTGATAGTTATTCAGTTATTGATTTATCAAGATTTAATATTTCGAAAGGGGCTTCGACTACACAACGACATCCGCTTAAGGATTATTGCATACTTAGGAGCACCGGAAAGCCAACCATTCCCTCCTAGTATGGAACTCTTCAGATGTACGCACCCAAACTCTCCCAGGGGTTACTCACTCGCCATTCGCCAATGTACTAATCAGAAGCCATGACCTGTGGACTACAAGCGAGTGGCTGAATTGCAAAGTACCGTGTACGAGACCTGCCAGTCATAGGGTCATGAGTGTGCACTACTGAATAGTCGCAAATTAGGACGAAACAGCTGTCCAACACTTCTAGGTTTTCAGTGATTCTTCAACTGATCTCCATCCTCATTGAAAACTACCTTTATTCCAGTATGTTTTTCGGTGTATAAAATCTCGGTGTCAGAAGAATAGAGAAACAGGAACAAATAATATGCCCCAGTTTCTGACTACTGAGTGAACTACGCAAGCAGACAAGAAACGACCATATGCATCGAGTTGATTTAGGAGTTACAGAGAAGATATCACCTTGGATAAGTTTGAATCCATTCAAGCGGATCAGTGGCATATCGCTGATTTCTGTCTGTTTATCCTAGTCTGTTTAGCAGTTGATAATTATACTCAATTATGCTAAACATTGAGTTAATTTCAAAGCGTACTTGTTCCCTACTATAAGTTACGTAGGATACATTATTGAAACAAACTGTTTGTTATCGACTACATTGATATTGAAAGGCTAACCTTCAACCTGATAAGACTGAATGGTATTCCCGGTGACTACCACTGTTAGGCGAACAGACAGAAAAAACTAAAGTAGGACCTCTCAAAGATCTGAGTCAGTTCATGTTATCACACTATCCAGTAGCATAAAAAGACGAAGTGGATAGAAAAAGAAGGATATCAAGAGAGAAAAAAGTGTCTGGAGAAGAAGGAACTTGAAAATACAGATTACAGGAAATACTCAACCATTAGGAAGACGTCAAAGAGTGAACATATCTGTTGAGGTAGGCGGTGGGTCAGCATGTGCAGCGCATGTCCAAGCCACTTCAGTCTCTGAAGGTGCTATGGAGATGCCTGTGATCAAAACCCTGTAACCTCTTTATATCTACTTTCACTGGCTGTCTCACAGCGTTATAGCATGACAGACGAACTACAATGAAATTTACCAACCCCGTTATAAATAAGAGGGTATCTCTCCAGTCGGCACCGGGGATGACGCAAGTTGGCAAATCCAAACGAAATTTTCCTATTCAAGCTGAGATTTTATCAGCAACTAGTTCGTTCGAGCTGATGGAACTCCCCAATTAAGTAAAATGGTCAACGTATTCAGTCACTTCACCTTCTGTCATTAAACTGAGAGTAACTGTGGACCAGTCCTGAAAAATCAAGTACAAAATGCATACAAAATGCAGTTTTCTGTTAGGACTCTATACGCTATCAAAATATCCAGAACCAATAAGATTTACGCCAAAGTCTCTAGAAAAACATATGACTACACATCAAACTGTTTGGTTGGCTCAAATGAAAAAATCGATAGTAGCAGCATTTTGAAATAGTTTGGAAATACTAACACCTTTTCACCTATATATAAACAGTTCTACATCTTGTAGAAAATTAACCATACAGTACACTTGATGCCTTGCTGCATAAATGACTGACGTAGTTTGTCCATGTCAGGCGATGCAGCAAGCTCACTTGTCTAAAGTGTTATGTCGTTACCTAAGCAAAAATGTGTCTCGGATTCAGACAAGTTGGAGAAAAACTGTCAAAAGAATAAGCCAACACTGTTTTCAAGTATCGTATCGGTTATCTAGAGGTTTTATGTGCATCCTATTGACATATAACAATCTCAGTTAAACTGGGATTCCTATCGCTTGCATTCAATGTATCATATGTGTCATATATAGATATATCATTTCAAGTACACAGAAAAATTCATTTCATTAACCTACTTTCCAATTTTTGTTATCTTCATCTGATTGACCTAGAAATCCAATAAATCCCTCCATCAGCCAATTTTTATCAGTGAAATGCAGTTGAGTTATTGTCAATTGTTTCCTTTGATTAAAAATGATTGATCGCTTATTGCAAGTATCAGTAAGTATTGGCTGACAATTCAAGTGAAGACGGATTTTATTTAAATGTATATTTAATGATAATTTATACCATAAATTAGGCTGTAGTTGAATCAATTGACTTTTATACCTTTGTGTAGTTGATTTTGATAGATTGGATAAAGTTATTTGAATTGTTTGATGAGATTTTCGGTTTTGAATGACTATCTTAAAGAATATTCTGCTCTCATGAAAAGAGAAATGAAACAATCAATGTAAGTGATAAAAAGATTTTCAAAAAAGAAAACAAATAGAAATTTTTGCTATTTCTAGTTATTAATTAGTGTTCTTCATCAGTTGATGATTACCATTTCCTGCATTTGTTGATGTTGTGTTATATACTACTTATATGCTGATTTACAAGTAGTTAATATTATGCTTGCATTCAAGTGGATACTTTGCTCTCACTGCTTAAAGGATAAAGATTCATTAAGCTAATGAGTTAAATTAAGTCGATCCATTACAACAGATTTAAATTGTACCCGTTATGTTCGAGCAATCTGAGAGCAGAATGTGGATACTATGGTAGAGTAGAACTGCACCATACAGGATTTGATTTATTTATTACACAGTGAAACTAGATGACATTTCAAGCACAATTTAATGCTCATTATAACTTCAAGATAACCATATCAATTTCTGGTTCAGTTTGATGGTTCTACTGATTTTTATATTATCGTTTAGCCGATTTACCACATTTCTGGAATCGGTAATGCTTTATACGCATTACATGTGCCATCTGTACATTCAATAAAGAGGGCTGCAAGTTGTTGTTCATCACGAACTGATATTATTTGAAGAATCATTGAGAATATAACAGTATTAAACACGCGTTTTATCCTGGTATGGGATGCCTCAGTAGTGCGCACTGATGACCTCATTAGGGAGTCGTGAACGATGAGACAAACCAAGTCGAACGTGAGGATTTATACTGCACAATGGAGTTCGATGATGGTCACACCACATACGCACCCAGTGACTCAATGGTAACATACTCACCTTTAAAGCTTGGGGTTCTGGTTCGATCCCTGCCGAGTCCACGGGTGTGCACTGATAAGGAGTTCTATGCTACGATATGACAGCTGTCTAGCACCCTCAGGTTTTCAGTGGTTCTGCAACTGATATCAGTCCATGATGAACACTGACCTGTAATCAATAATTTCATGGAAACCTTCAAACTGAAAACACAGATCTCCACTTACCGAAGTTATTTTCACTAATTGACGGTGTCTGTTAGTTTGAGGTATATCTTTGACCTAACAGTTAGTAAATCAAATCTGGGGAACCAAGTTGTTTTGTTCAATAGGTTCAATAGGTTCCTTTAACTAAATAAGTTTGTCTCTAAGTCGGTTTGTTAGTAAACATTTTCAACAGGATACTTTACATTACCTGATTATATATACCATGATACAATACAGGAAACATATATACGTGCATAAGACAAACTAAGGCATCAGTTGAAGTTTAGTCACATAAAGGTGAACAGTTTTTACAGGTCTTGAGGTAATGCACTTTGTTCAAAGAATCGTCAACTTAAGTGTTACTGGTAAGCATCTTGTCTCAGTTGATATTGTATCTTTGGTCATACATGTATCAGTTGATAAAACTATTGACTTTATATGTATGGAAGGTGGTAATATCCCTATCCCAATAAATGAACTTAGAATGCTTTTAAGTTTATAAACCAAGAATGACCAATATCAAATCAATGACCAGTGACTTCATGAAACTCATAGTGTCATGATAGGAAACCCTTTGCGAGCCCTGTGTAACAACTTATTTCTTTAAAGTCTGGACGATAATAGCTTAAGTTGTTATCCAAATATTACTTTAACGGTAAGACATGAAGAAAATAATATGACCAGTTTCTTGAATGTCTGTCTTGTGAAAAGAATCTTTGGAACTATCGAGAGGCTTATCTGTAATAAGGCGACCAGGGATGAGGCAGAGTACCTTCACCCTAAGACCTTTACCTCGATACAAAAACAATATGATTAATGGATTGTTTATCAGAGCCATAAAAATAAGCGTAAATGAATATAAAATAAGGGCATTAAAAACATTCTAATAAAGGTGTAAAACTTGCGCACTGTGGTCGAGTGTAATTCTATTTTAGACTGTTTATTAGAAATATCATACAGTGAAACAGCAGCATTTACTAGATAACGTTTCGGACATAATTTATTGTCCATATTCATATCAGGTAACTAACTTCACAACTTCGAGACAGTCTTTATACATTCCTAATTTTCTCTTCTTCTCTGTGATGACAAAGGTAGTAGAATTTTCCATATATCTGGATCCTATCGATGCAATTAAGCAAAATAATCTGGTTTACCAAATCCCTTGCAGCAACGATTGCGAGGTCAAGTACATAGGTTAAAGCAGTCGACCAGGGTCGATTAGAATAAGAGAGCACAAAAACTTAGCTAAATCAAGATCAGTAGATCCTAATAAGATAAGAAATCTGGAGAAAAACTCGGCTATAGCTCTGCATGCGATGACATACAATCACACAATAGGGTGGGATAGGGTGACAGTGTTGTAAACTAACTTAGATGCGTGGAGGGAGAGATTGATAACCGAATCTTTGTTTATCAAATCAACACCAAACACATACAATCGAAATGATTCTGCACCCGTCCAAGATATATGGAAAATTCTACTACCTTTGTCATCACAGAGAAGAAGAGAAAACTAGGAATATATAAAGACTGTCTCGAAGTTGTGAAGTTAGTTACCTGATATGAATATGGACAACAAATTATGTCCTCAAGGTACGTTATCTAGTAAATTCTACCGTTTCACTGTATGATATTTCTAATAAATAGACTAAAATGGAATTCTAATAAAGGGAACGGATATTGAAAAGTCGATACGAAGAAATATATGTAATGAATAGAAATAAAACGAAAATGTGCTTCACAGCACTAAGAAAAGACCCTTAAAATATTATCCTACAATTAAAAGGGAATTACATGTTACAGACAGTTGAGCGAAGACTGGAAACATTATGCTTCTAAGCTCTCATAAAAACTATCAAATGGATATTATAGCAATAAAGTAAAGAGAGAGTTCCGGTCCACGATATATCTAAGTACATACATTGATTCAGATGTCCGCCAGAAATAAATGGATCGTATTCAGAGATTTCTACCTGGTTGAACGATTAAGCGTATATGTAAGTGTCTATGGCATGGAGATAAGAAAACTCTGTGAAGCTAAATGATGAAATATTCACTGGACTATGGGCATTATCAATAGGTAGCAGAATAGGAAGATGTTGGCAAATGCAGAAGCTTGTACATTTCAAGTTGTCAAACTAAATCTCTGCATGCCAAAGGCATATATCAAAGTAGTAACTATAGTGAGATCTAACCATATGTAGTCTTGTTAGTTAGATGAAGGTAAATGGCAGGAAGCGCCACTGAACGTAAACTTTGTACTGGCTTTTGACACACTTCATCAAGGTATCTTCAACCTTGAATGAACTGAAGTCTTGTCTGAAACGTGGAACTATATCCCCTAGTTCTGCAGTTAGCGATGCTACCACTGAGGTATTCGGAGGGAGAACGATCTCCTGTAGGACTGAATTAGGTGCACTAATTAGTCACCAGAGGGCAACCAATTTCATATTGTCTAGTCCTGAGTGCTGACCGGGTTCCATCGATTATCTTGTGAGACAGGAACCAAACTAGGAGACTGACCATTGAAATGCACTGAGACAGATGTTATTTAGTTACCCTTCAGTGATCTTCCAGTGTACCTAGTGAAGTCTCACAAGATGTCGATCGGGCTTCGAACACCTCAGCGACTGCATCTATGACTGCAGAAGTAGGTGGAGCGGTTCCGGGCTACCAGTTCTATCGGGGTTGCAGATACATCTAACTGACGAGTACCGTCAGGTAGTACGAAACCTGGATCCAGCAGGACTTTCTACTGATTGCCAGACTTCGAAGAGGACCACTAACTATCCTGTTAGCCATACGTAACGTATCTTCAGACTACTCAACTTTCACCACAGTGTCAATATCGTTATTATCTTCTTTTTTTCCACCCAAATTCCATTTAATTCATTAGCCTTAAACTGCTGTATAACTTATGATTTGATCATCCGTTCTATTTAGAATGGTGCAGTTTAACTTCTTCAACCTATTCAACTTGAAAACCCACTCCAACTTGTTGCGTTACCAGCTGATCGGTAAAAATCGTTCATTTACATGTTGCTTAAGCCTAAATTGATTTCTCAGTTTATGTTTTGCGCATATATCTGTCCTGTATTGTATCATAGTATACATAACCAAGTATGTACAACGTTCGTTTGATGAGCCCTACTGAAATGTATGAATTCATCGTATCCCATGTTTGTTTCCTGAAATAACTGTTTTCGAGTAGAATTTTTATCAAGAATGCTTTAAACTTGAGTCAACTAAGAAACCATAATACCTTTCTTTTGAAAATAACTATGGTAGGTGGCTAACAGTGGAATCTATGGTGCATTTTTAGTCGTATTTGGGACTTGCCAGCTGAATGTACCTGCATCCCAATGAGCTATGTTCCCGAAAGTACTCGAACTCAGGACCCATTACGTCAAGCACCTGAAGGTTATTCACTACGCTTGTGAGTTATAATAGCAACTATTTGCGTGGTGTGTACAGTTTTGATGTTATTTCTTTCTATCTCAGTAACTTGCATCGAGTTCATTCTGTGAAAATGTATTTAGAGGTATTCTTGTAACTCCAAGCTCATATATAAGCCACGCTCTTTGCATGATGATCACTTACGCAGATAGTAGGTGAAGTTTAATAGTTCAAACATATACTTCTCTACTTGATTATGGAGTGTTATATTGATCTTAGTGACTAGCAGAGGAATCCAGGACTCGCGTTTCGTCCTACTTAGGACTCATCAGCTGGATGTAGCTACATCTCAGTGAGTGATGTTGTTGCCACTGGGACTCGGACCCAGTACCTATCGTTTCATTATGCAGTGTTTGAATTCATTAACCACCTTGGTAATGTTCAGTATACTTTTATCCAGTCGTCAGTGTATGTCAGATTTTATCTATCTAGCTTGTAGTGTTGTCATAAAGCCAGGAAGCTGGACATCACTAGAGTGACATTATATTATGCAACTCTTTAAGTAGTAACAGTCAACAGGATAACAAATATGATCTAGATT